ACCGCTGAGCCAAACAGGCCAGGGCTGAATTTAAATAAGCATATATCTGAAGCAATTAATAACCCAAGAGCTGTCTTGACTTAACTCAAAAAGTGCTGAGAAGAAGCAGACCCCTGTGTTTTCATCAGCGAAATGACTACTGACGTGGAGGCAGGGTTGGAAAGGAATAAACAGAGATGCTCGGGCGAGAAGCGGTTTGTGAGCAGGAAGTGAGCACAGCGTGTGCCCGGCCCCAGCGCGGGGCCAGGGCCCCAAAGCTGCCATGCAGACTGAGCTGGAAGACGGACCTGACCGAATTCTGCGGAGAGTCGGCTCAAGGCACCTGAAGCCAGTGAGGAGTCCGTGGCACACTTAGAAAAAGTCTCGTTCGTTCAAACAAAGCGGCAAAGGCAGCATGGTAAATAAAGAGAAAATCACCGATGGCTGAAAGTCTCCGCTCTCATCTCCACGGGTATGAAGGTGCGTCTCCACCTCATTCCCCCACAAGAAGCGCCCACAGCCTTGTACCCAGGCATCCCAGCGAGGCTATTGGATTGAGTTTCTCTTGGTCCCTCTGCGTCCTGAGAGGTCTGTCTTGGTCCCCACATCAGATCCACCCCTCCTGGTGCACAGCACTCAGACACTGTCCCAGCCCCTGTGCCACCCTGTGCAACATCTGTTGGGTCCTCCTCTCCTAGGCACTCTCCCCCTTCCACTAACCCTGAGAAATAGGCCTTCATTTTCTTCCTTGAAAAACCTGCTGTCTCCTCTTGACGTGGCGATCGTGCGTGGTCCTCGATGACGTGGCGATCGTGCGTGGTCCTCTTGACGTGGCGATCGTGCGTGGTCCTCGATGACCTGGTGATCGTGTGTGGTCCTTGATGACGTGGCGATCGTGCGTGGTCCTCTTGACGTGGCGATCGTGCGTGGTCCTCGATGACGTGGCAATCGTGTATGGTCCTCGATGACCTGGCGATCGTGCATGGTCCTTTTGACGTGGCGATCGTGTGTGGTCCCAGATTTGCTGCCCTCTAGATTTCAAGCTCCAGGAAGATCGTCCTTTCGGTTCTCACCCTCCTGGAGACGAGTTCAGTTCAAGCTGGGTCTAACTTTTGAATTATCTTAGAAAGATGAGTCTTTGTCCTTAAAGAGTGTGAAAAGGAGTCAAAGACCATAAAATACTAAAGTGGGTGTTTTTGAAACACATACAAATTGATGTATATTACTTTCCACAAATGAGTGAGTGGGTGAGCGAGTGAGTGGGTGAGTGAGTGGGTGAGTGAGTGGGTGAGTGAGTGGGTGAGTGGGTGAGTGGATGGGTGAGTGGGTGAGTGAGTGGGTGAGTGAGTGGGTGAGTGAGTGGGTGAGTGGGTGAGTGGGTGGGTGAGTGGGTGAGTGGGTGAGTGAGTGAGTGAGTGGGTGAGTGGGTGGGTGAGTGGGTGAGTGGATGGGTGAGTGGGTGAGTGAGTGGGTGAGTGAGTGGGTGAGTGGGTGAGTGGGTGGGTGAGTGGGTGAGTGGGTGGGTGAGTGGGTGAGTGGGTGGGTGAGTGGGTGGGTGAGTGAGTGAGTGGATGAGTGAGTGGGTGAGTGAGCAGGTGAGCGGGTGAGCGGGTGGGCGAGTGGGCGAGTGGGCGAGTGGGCGAGTGGGTGAGTGGGTGAGTGGGTGGGTGAGTGGGTGAGTGGGTGAGTGGGTGGGTGAGTGAGTGGATGAGTGAGTGGGTGAGTGGATGAGTGAGTGGGTGAGTGAGTGGGTGAGTGGGTGAGTGGGTGAGTGGGTGGGTGAGTGGGTGAGTGGGTGAGTGGGTGGGTGAGTGGGTGGGTGAGTGAGTGAGTGAGTGGGTGGGTGGCTGAGTGAGTGGGTGGGTGGGTGGGTGGGTGGGTGCTGAGTGAAGGGATGGGTGGCTACGAGTCTTCCTTCAGTAAGTTCCCCCGCAGCCAGTGCCGTAGCCCTCAGGGCTCCCTGTCCCCACGCCCCGGCCTGGGAGCCACGTCCCCGGTCCAGGCAAACACTCTCCGGACCTGTGCTGGAGTTCAGGTGGCCTCGGGCTTCGACAGCTGTTGCTTTGAGAACTGCATGGCTGCAGAATCATGCATGTCAGAGGCCTTTGGGTAGCGTGTGCGCACCCACGGGTCATTCCACATCCCATCTGTGAGAAATGTCTTCCATCCACGTTGCGGTGGGAAGACCTGTGACGTGAAGGTGTGAAGAGTGTTTTAACCTGTTTCTTAAACATTCTGACTTTGCTCCAGCTCTTTCTGGCTTAAACCTATGCATCTATTAAGCAAAATGCAGATCATGCTGGGACCCACCGTGTGTGACGGCGGCTGGGTGCGCACCTCTGTCCCTGTCCACCTGTGCAAACAGCCTGCAGTGGGCCAGGGCACCCCACAACGCCCCCCTGGGGCTGTTTTCCTAACAGTGTTGTTGGAGGGCTGCCTGACTTCATTCTAAACTTGGCAAAGTGCCTTTTATCTCGGCTGGTTTGAAAACCCCCCGCCGAGTTCTTTCGGTACCGAGTGAATTCTTGAGAACAGGGAGATCCCTTTTGTTCAAGAACACGCGTAGAGGCCCCTTTCCCGTGTCTCCTTGGAATCGAATCGCCAGTAGAACAGGAGAACCGTGTGCATGAAGAGCTCATTCCCGGCAGGACAGCCCCTGGTCAGCTCCACATGTCGCGTTGTCGGGGTTACGGTCAGATTTCAGATGCCTGCTGCTGGGGTTTTTCGGTATGAAAAGGTGCAGAGGGCACGTCTCCCGGCTTGGAGAAAGCGATGATTATGCTCTTACCCTAAGCCATCAGCATTTCCTCCCTGGGGCGTCAGGAGAAGCAGAGAGACCGGCGCCTCCACCAAAACCTCAGTGGGATCTAGGTTATTCCACTTTTCTCAAAAACAGAAGGCCGGGCAGGTGCCTGTGTGAGGCCCGGTCCTGGGACACGTTCAGATCTGTTCAGTGTTGCTGCTCTGTCTCTGTGTCTCCCTGTCTCTCTGTCTCTCTGTTTCTCTATGTCTCTTTCTGTCTCTCTGTCTGTCTGTCTCTCTCGCTCTCAGTGATGCTCTGCAGGGGCAGCTGTGTTAGGAGCTCAGGTCCGGCCTGCCCCGCCGTGCTCGGGAGGGAGGAACCAGCAGGGGTAAGAACTGTAAGTGGACGGACTCCCTCAGGCGCAGTAGGAAGCGTCCTCCCCGGAGCTGCCTGGCTGCAGGCCCCCTCCCAAGGACCCTCCGACCTGTTTCTGGTGAGGGGAAAAGGGCCTGAGACCCCTCAGGGACAGAGTTCAATCCAGCGACCCGCTCTGGCCATTTTTAAGTAAAAGGGAAGTTTTGCAAAACCCAGAAAAGGCACTGATCTGTTTTTCTTGTCTTGGCTCAAATGTGCCAGGGTTGTTTCGCCAAGTGAGACCAGAGCCTGCGGGGTGAGCTTGAACCACCTGGGAGATTCTCATGCCCGGGAGCCCCATGAATGAGGACCCCACCTCCGGGTGCTGCTCCCAGCCTCTTGTCTGAACCCCTCCCCCAGAACCCGGCAATGACCACCGCTGGGCGTCCAGGCCACGCACTGGGCTGCTGTGACCCACTCCTGCCTGGCCAGCGTGCCTGCCCCTCCCAGAACCCAGGGCGGGGCTGCGGGGACCCCACCTCCAGGACTCCTCTGGGGGATGGGCTCCCCCCTCAGTCACCTCCCCTGGGGGTCTTCCTCATGGCTTCACCTTGCCTTCTGCTCTTGGTTAACTTTTTTATTCTTTATTGATGTTAGAGAGAGAGGAAGGGGAGGGAGAGAGATAGAAACACTGATGAGAGAACATCGCCTGCCTGCCTCCTGCAGGCCCCCCACTGGGGATCAGCCCACAACCTGGGCATGTGCCCTGACCGGGAATCGAACCGGCGACCTCTTGGCGCAGGGTCGACGCCCAACCAGTGAGCCACACGGGCCGGGCTTGGCTAACTTTTAATGGTGCCAACTAGGACCCGCCGAGCTCGGGGAGGGAGCTCGGTGTCCTTCAAGGGACGAAGCGGCCTCAGCTGGAGGGCTCCCTTGTCTTCCTCGTGAGGAGCAGGTGGACCAGGGCCCACAGCTCACACTGGCGAAGGCCGGGCCGGTGAGCAGGGCTCTCCGTGTCATGGACGCCACAGGCCACGTACACTCGTGACACACGGGCCCCTGGGCCCAGGCTGCCGGCCGCGTACCGTGACGGCCGCGGCCCGAGGTTCGCGTCTCAACCACCCTCTTTCTTTGAACGAATTGCCGATGCCCCGTAAATCAGACGTGGCACCTTGGGGGCCCAGTGACATTCGGGGACCGGAGACGGTCCGTTTGCCCTGTCACGCAGGCCTTTCTGGGGGCTCCCCGAGACCACCTCCATGAGCTGTGCTCTCAGTCTGTGTGGCCGAGGACTGGGCCGGGCCGGGCAGAGGGCTTGGGAGTCCAGGGCAGGCCCTGTGAGGGCTGGCGGCCAGATCCCGGACCACACTGGGACACTGTTAGACTGGAGTGCGATGTCGGGGCTCCGAGGAGCCAAGGCGAGGATGCGGAGCCCCGAGGGTCATGGGGCTGCAGTGCGTGGAGGGCTGGGGGCCGTCCACGCTGTAGGTGATGCGCGCCAAGCCTGGAGAGCTGCCTCCTGGGCACGGAAGTCTGGTCCCAGCGGCGGGGCGTGGTGAGACTGTGTGGGACCCTGTCCCTGAGGTGCTGCCCCGAGGGCAGGATTCACTCCTGAGCTCACAGGGGAGGGCCAAGCAGGGCGACTGCAGAAACCGCCGCTCCGGCGTTTAGGGTGAAGGCCACACGCTCCCCGGCACACGTGAGCGGTTCCCCACGCCGTTGGCGGCGGTTCAGCCCGAACTCGGAGGTAGCGTACGGTCGGCTGTCGAGACCTTTGGATCAGACGGAGGCTTAGATTCAGGTTTCCCTGGCGTGTCCGGCGTGGCTCCCTGACATCACGTGGCCTTCGGTCGCTGTTTTCTGTCGCTCTGCTGAAAACAGTTCTTTCGGTTTATGTGGCTGCTTCTTTTTTCTCCTGAAGTTTCTGAGAGTCGATCAAGACAAAGACAAGGACTGCAGCCTGGACTGCGCGGGCTCCCCCCAGAAGTCCCTCTGTGCGTCCGACGGCAGGACCTTCCTGTCCCGCTGTGAGTTCCAGCGCGCCAAGTGCAAGGACGCTCACCTGGAGATCGCCTACCGCGGGAACTGCAAAGGTGAGTCCACGCCCCCGGGGCCGCGCGGGGAGACCGACACTGGGGGCACGGCCCCCGTGTTCTTCTCGCTGCGGTTTTGTGTGCAGGAGCTCGAGGGCCCGTCCGTGAAGTCTCTTCAGAGCACGCAGGGCCGACGCGTAATTCCTGACGCCTGAGGACAGTCGTTCCCACGGGTCCACGCTCTCCCTCGGACCGGTGCGCGACCCCGCGGCAGTTGTCCGAGGGCTCCCCAGGGTGTTCCCAAAGTCTTCTAAAACTGTTCTCACCGAAGTTCATGATTGCTTTTACAACTCTTCCTCGTGGCCCCTGTTAGCACGTGGTCGTGTACGGTGCCATGTGGGCTGTGTCTGTGACCCTTTTGGTGTCAGTTTGACACGCGGATGTTTGAGTCAGGTGGGGAGTTGTGCAGTACCCCGCAGAGGGACACACCTGCTGCCCACGTGACAGGGGGGATGGGGGCTGGCCCAGCCCAGGTGCCGACGCCCACCCCACATTCAGGTTCAGAAGGGGGCTGACCCTCTTTTCCTTGTTCTGTCGGAGAAAGGGCCGCGGGGCGTGGCAGGAGCTTCTGCAGCCTCTCCTGTTCGATCTGACAGTGTCCGGAACTCGGACTCCACGGGGCCCGTTACCCCGGCCTCCCGCTGGGCCAGGTTTTGAATACTTTGCTCTTTCTTCCTGCCACACTGCCGTGTCCTCGGTGTCGGATTCGAATCCCCGTCCCCATGACAGACAGGATTCTGCTTGCTCCTGACAGCGGGGCTCTGGGGACGGCCCGGGAAAGCGCCTCCTTCCAGGCTGAGGCCTTGGACCCTGGGCCCCGTCTGTGCCCACGTGTGTTTGTGCCACTCTGAGTGCAGGGGCGGGGAGGTGGCGCCCTCTCGGCACGCACCTGTGGCTGTGTCCGTGACTGATGGTGACTGAGGGGTTTCTGCCACTATGGTTTGTTCACGGTCAAAATATTTCAGGACCGTTGGACGTCCGGCCCGAGAGGCCCGGGCCTGAGCTGCAGTGGGCGGCGGGCCGTGCAGGCCGAGCACCTGGGAAACCTGGGCCCTGTCCTGTGGTCAGAGCCGCTGCTCACAGGTCAGCGCCCGGCAGGCCGGTCCCCTCACCGAGAGAGTCCAGCCGAGGGGACACCACACCGGAGGGTGTTGCAGGGGGCATGGGAGAGAGGGCGGGAGGGTTATGGCGAGATCGAAGGTCAGATGCTGGAATTTGCTCTCACCTGGGAGGCGTGGGGGCCACAGACAGTTGAGCAGAGGAAGGGAGGGCGGTGGACGTGGTCGCTGCTGAGCGTGGGCCAGCGCACCTGCCTCCAGCGCCTCTTAGCGCCCTGGGCGTGGAGCGGGGTGCCCGGGCCCCGTGGTGCTCGCCGTCCCAGATCAGCGGGAGCCCACACCCCTCCTGCTCCAGACGGGACGCAGGGGGTGAAGGGACCAGACACTACCCAGGGGGCGTGTGATTTTAATTCAGTCTTCCCCGGCTGTTGTGAACAAAAGGACAAACGCCACCAATGAAGTACGTGAGTCATACTCAACATGCTACGGTGGCAGCGTCATGGCTGAACCCCAAACACAGGCCTTGGAGACACTGGAGTGAACGCCTGGCCCAGGTGGGCTGAGCCACGTGCCATGTGGTCCCGGGACCGCCCCCCTCAGCATCCGCTTGGGGCCCAGGCCTGGGGACCGACCCCGACCACACCTGAGACCGACCCCGACCCCTCAGCCTGAGATCGGGCTGAGGATGTGTGTTTACCCAGCTCCCCGGTGGTTCCTGAGGAGAGATGACCTCCCCGTCCTGCCGGAGCTCCGGCCACTGTGAGCAGCTGCCCCGTGCTGCTCGGGGCGCCGAGCACACCTGGGGCCCAGGCCCTGCACCTGGGGGAGGAGCTCTCTTCCACCTGGGGCCCAGGCAGGCATAACGGTGTCTTGGAAGATGCGTTAAAAGTAAACAACTGTAATTTTTGTTGAAGAAAAGTAATGTGGTTTGCAAATTAAATTTTAGTGGGGAAAATAGTTTAAATAAGTGTTACAACACAAGTGTGAAACCTCTTTCTATGGAAAATGTCCATAAAAGGAAAACTGAGGATGTTCAGATTAGCTGCACTCGAAGTTCTTTGTTCAAATCACATGGACCTGTACGAACTGTCAGCAAGAGCACTCACGGAGACTAGAAGCTGCACCCGGGGTCTTTGTCCAGCGAGCAACACTTTCTACAGCCGTCTTTGTGGTGACGGGGAGGCAGAACATCCCTGTAAAAAGGGTTTTGTGAATGAAAAATTACTTTTCTTTGTAAATATCCATCATCATCCTTAGCAGCAGAAAATAGCAAGTATCATCTACCTGAAGTTCCTCGTTCTGTGTCAGTGTTTACCTGCACCTGTTTCTTTTCTTTTCTTTTTTTTTTTTATCCTCACCCGAGGATATTTTTCCATCTTTTTTGTACAGATAGAGTGGGAGGTAGAGAGAGAGAGAAACATCGACGTGCAAGAACACATCGAGTGGCTGCCACCCGCACAACCAACCAGGGCCGGGGACAAACTGCAACCGAAGTACGTGCCCTTAGCGGGAACCGAACCTGGGTCTCTCCAGCCCGCAGGCTGACGCTCTAACCGCTGAGCCAAACTGGCCAGGGCTACCTGAACCTGTTTCTGAGAGCTTGTTTGGGAAGAGTTTAAATGAGGATTATCAGGTTCCTTCAATGGACACACACACACAGACACACACATGCATATGTGCACACACTGTACACACATGCACGCACACACACACGCACACACATGCACGCACGCACATGTGCACACACATACATGCACATGCACACACGGGCACATAACGCAAATGCACACACATGCATGCGCACACAGATGCACACACACACATGCAAAATTATGCGTGTACACATGCACACACGCATGCACACACACGCGTGCACAGCACACACATTCGCATGCACACACTCGTGTGCACACGCGTGCGCACAGCACACACAGTCACGTGCACCCACAATTTGCAGACGCACGCACACTCACATGCACACGCACACATGTGCATACATGCACACACATGCGCGCACACAGTGCTGGTTGGTTTGCTCAAGTAGATGATACCTCTTCCTTCAGGCAGCTTCTTTCCCTGTGGTCCTAACACTGTGATGGTGGCTTTAGCCTAATGCTGTCCAGACCGGGCACAGGCGGGGTGCACTCAGATTAACACTGAGATGCTGAGACTCAGTGTTAATCAAATTAGTAAATTAATATTTTCTTCTAAGGAATGACCCCCTGAAGGGTCACCTGAAGGAAAACCAATAGGTTTTATTCTCTCTGCGTTTGATTCAGTTCCAGATCCAGGCCCTCGGGGACTTGGTGGGGACCAGGTGCAGTGCGGCCTGGGGACTGGCCTCCTCCGAGCTCTAACATGCCCGTGTGAGGCTCCCCAGGGTGGTGTCGGACCAAGAGCACCCGGGGGCCATCGCCGCGCCCTCTGCACCTGCTCCGTGTGCCCTCCGCTCACACCCGGGACGCTGTGTGTAACTTTACGCCTTGGCTGAAGTCACGCCTCTCGGTTATCTGGGCTGAGACATGAGGAGCGATTTAAGGATACATTCAAATGTCCGGCTATCCCTTTGGAGAAGCTTCTAGAAGCCATTGCCTGTGCTGACAGTGTCTGAAAACAAGAGCTGTGGGGGTGGTGGTCAAGTCCAAGGGTTTTATTTCCTCCCGTGTTCCTTTGGAGGAGCCCATGGCATGTTCTGCTGGGCCCTGGGAAGCTGCCCGCTCAGCGTGCCAGCCGGGGCCTCCTGGGACAGAGGGGTCTGTCTGCGTGGAAATCACCCCGTGTCCGGCCGCTCGCTGAGGCTGCCCTCAGAGCCTTTACCTGGGGCCTGGCCATGCCCACCGGTGGGCCCACGCGGGTTGGATGAGGAGGTGAATTTGAATTAAACAGGTGTCGTGTGTGGGCCCCGCCTGGCTTTTCTGGGATGATTTTCAAGGATAAATCCCTGGGTGGGGATCCCATTCACGCCACTGAACAAATTTCATGCCATAAACTCCTAGCAGTAAAAAGTGTGACGAGGAAGAAGTAGGTGGACACAGAACTTGCTTCAGAAAAGGAAGCTTAACTTAAATCCAAACAACTGCGGTGGAAGACAACGGAGACCCCTGGAGACAGCAAGTCCCGCACGTGGGTGCCCGCGGCCGAGGGCAGCAGGGGCTGGGCCCCAGTGAGGACGGTGAGCCTGGCGTGACGTTGCCGATGGAGACAAAGTCCCGCGCGTGGGTGCCCGCGGCCGAGGGCAGCAGGGGCTGGGCCCCAGGGAGGACGGTGAGCCTGGCGTGACGTTGCCGATGGAGACAAAGTCCCGCGCGTGGGTGCCCGCGGCCGAGGGCAGCAGGGGCTGGGCCCCCAGTGCGGACGGTGAGCCTGGCATGACGTTGCCGATGGAGACAAAGTCCCGCGCGTGGGTGCCCGCGGCCGAGGGCAGCAGGGGCTGGGCCCCCAGTGAGGACGGTGAGCCTGGCGTGACGTTGCCGATGGCTGGGCTGGTGCACCCCGTCCGTGCCCGGTCCCGGTGCAGGGCACAGCTCTGAAGCCTCAGCTTCCAGCCCACATCAGGTGGGTGAAGAGAGGGTGTTCCAGCTGGAGCTGCCCTGGAGAGGGGAGTCCCAGTCTTCAATCGGGGTCACCCTCCAGAAGAAGCCATTGCCTGGATCCCGCCTCAGGCAGAAATAGGGCGGGGACTGATGTGTCCCTGACGTCACTCCAGTAATGCAAACACCCACCGGCCCGTCTCTCATTAGCACCGTGTTGCAAATGGCCCGTGCGGCCTGGTGCTGACTTGTGAGGGCCGAGCGGGTCTGAGCGTGTTTTCCTGGCCCTTTGGACTCTCTGGCAGAAAGGACTCAGCGCCCAGGCCCTGGCTCACGGAGCGGGACCGAAGCGTTCCGCCGTCCACACCGATCGCCCCGACCCCGAACAGCCGCGCGGTGGTTCACGCCGACG